TAGCTGGGACTACAGGCATGCGCCACCATGCCCGGCTAATTTTTTCTATATATTTTTAGTTGTCCAATTAATTTCTTTCTATTTTTAGTAGAGACGGGTTCTCGCTCTTGCTCAGGCTGGTTTCGAACTCCTGAGCTCAAACAATCTGCCCGCCTCGGCCTCCTAGAGAGCTAGGATTACAGGCGTGAGCCACTGCGCCCGGCCCATAATTTGCTTCTTGAAACAGTGACAGCCCCTGAAATAAGGTGAGAAGATGCTTTCAACTTCTCTCTCCAGTGGACCCCTAAATCACCGACCCAGAGCTTGGAGGAAACAGGAAAGAGGAAGCTGTCTCTCTGCACCTTCCAGCACTGCCCTGTGAGGTGGGCAGAAGGTCATCAATCACGAGTCTTGCAGCATATACCCAAATTCCTGATTTGGGTAGACTGATTCAAGAACTTTTAAAAAAATTTAAAAAATGATTATTTATTTGATCTTAGGCTGGGGAAGATCTCCCCAAGCAAAAAAAGGTTTTTAAAAAAGGAAATAACTAACAGATTTGAATGACATAACCATTTAATATCAAGTGTTGGCAAGGGCTCAGGGAAACAAGTGCTCTCATGAACTGCTGGTGGGAACACACTGGCATAATATTTCTGAAGGGCAATCTGGCTGCATGTGTCGAAAGTCTTTAAAATGTTTATACTCTTTGACTCGGTAAGTCAACGTCTAGGAATTTCTCCTAAAGAAATAATCAGAGAGATATAAAAAATGTATTTACAATATTGAAAGACTGGAAAGAACATAAATGTTCAATAATACATACATGTTAAACAACAGGGGACTAGTAAATATGAAATATTTATATAATAAAATACTATCTGGCCTTTAAAATAATGTTTAAAAGAATATTTAATGATGAAAATACACTGAGAAAAAGTTAACCATAAAAAAAGTCAATAACATGTATAGAATGAGTATAAATTTTTTTAACTTGTGAGATACAGACACACACACGTATCTGGAAGAAAACACAAAACAGTGCTTTGGTGGGAAAATCGGAGTTGATTTTAACTGTCTGTCACTAGTAGCTAAAAGCATGCTACCTGACAGACGTGGCTAACTCTCACTTGATCTTCAAGGCTCAGCTCAGTTGCCACTTCTTCTGGGAAGTCCTCCTGTCCTACCCCCATCTCTCCCATATCATACTAGGTGTCTCTCCTTTGCGCTGGACTGGGTCTGGGCAGACTCTGTGATATTCTTTATCATTGCATTATTCTCTCTTATTTGATTCACTACATCCCCACAACACTTTGAACAGCCTGTAGTCAGAAACATAGGTGTTTCATTTTTGTACCCCCAATTCCAATCTGTCTGGAACCTAACAGGTCTTCAAGCTAGAACGGTGGATTCATGAAGGAACAGACTGAGCAAATAGTTCTCTTTGCTCTGTGAATTTAAAGGTCAAGGAGAGAAACGTTAGCAAAGATCAGCAAATACCAGTTAGAGAGATAGCCCCTCTTACCTTGGCTAGCAGGCTTGAAATACGTTTAATTTCACCATTTGCCTTTAGTAATTCTTGTCTGAGCTCAGCGCAAGACAGTTCCAGTTGATCTTTCTCAGCTCGAGCCACCTGCAACATTTCTTGAGCGTCACAGCTCTCCGCCATGGGCCCCGCGGGGCTGGTCTCTGTGGACGTCTGCTTCTCTCCCTCCACATGAGCCTTCAAAGACCCGTTCTCCACCTTCAGCCCTTCCAAGGTAACTCTACACTCTTCCAAAGTATTGGCCATCACGCTATTATTATGCCGTTCCAGTTCTAGAAACCCGTTCAGTTTTTCATTTTCTTCCTTCAGACATTTAATCATTTCTAAAGCTCCTTGATTTTCTTCCTCGACCTTCCGTAAGCTGCAGGTCAGCTGCTGCTGAATGTTGAGCAGCTTCTCTCTCTCAAAGCGGCCCTGCTCAAGGATGTCTGTGCACTTCTGCTCCAGCTCCAGGATCTTCCCTTCTTGAGTGCTGGGCTCTTCCTTCTTTCCTCGCCCTTGTAAAAGATTTATCAGCTTTTCATTTTCTTGACTTAGCTGCTCTGCCCTCTCTCGATGCTGATGAAAGGATGTCTCTAAAATCGTCTTCTCATCCACCAGTTTCTCATTCTCGGCCGTCAATTCCTGCACCATCTGTTGCTGGTCTGATAATTCCTGTAGAGTAGCCTGCAGTTCCTCTGCGGTGCTGTGGTGATTTTCTTCCATCTTTTGAATCTTCTCTGTGAGGGAAGCCAGGGACAGTTCGCTCACGTTGTGCGGGGAGCTCCCGGTGGAAGAACACTTCGAACTCTTAAAGGGGTTACTAGTGGAGGACAGAGGCCTCGAGGGGGTATCTGCTGTAATGTGCTCAAAGTCAGAGGCATCTGGGGACAAAGAAGCTTTGGTGACGTCACTGCTTGAGGAACCCGACGTCCGTAATGCATTTCCATGGACATTTTTTTTATACTCGTCAATCTCACTTGACGACCGATCTCCAGTCGGGCTTCCGAAGCTTGACTCCTGAGTTATAGATGTTGGGCAGCTGCTGTCGCAGGTGTGGCTTGCTGCCCCTTCTGAACTGGGGGATTGCTCAAGATAGGTCAGTTTCTCCTTCAAGACCTGGTTTTCTTCCTCCAGATGAGCAAGCTTTTTCTGAAAGTTCTCGTTCTTCTCCTCAAGAGCTCTTATTAAAGGTTCCGTGTCGCCAGGTGAGACTGATGTTCCATCTACGTTTGGGCCCAAAGCATCAGTCCCTTCAGTGTTCAGAGTCCTTTTCTCTTTGCATTTCTTTAGTTCACTTCGAAGCCTGTTAATTTCACTATCTTTTGCTTTGGCTTCTGCCAAAAGTTCCCGAACCTGGGACTCAAGCACAGCCTTTTCTCCACTTTCATTCTCTTGCCTGGGCTTTGTGGAAGTGGTCCTCAGGTGCTTGGTGGGGGTGGGAGTGCTAGAAGAAGTTGGACTGGACACCAGTTTCCTGGGGTTGGAGGGGCCACGTGGCACAGACCTCTCTCTTGAGACGGTTGCTGAAAATTCCCGTGGCGCTGGAATGCCTGTCCGTTTGGTTGTTGTAACAGCCCCTTAAAGAAGAAAAAAATGGAAAAAAAGCAAGCACTTTTATAAACAAAACCCAAATGACTTCAAATCACATGGCACAGTGGACAGTGTGGCTGTCACCCCCTCATCCACTACCTCCTCCTCTAGATAATGACCCAGTTCTGACTAGGGTTCAAGTACACCCCCCAAAGCCTGACACTTCGGGGGAACCTGACTCCGAGTGTGAGCTGCTCAGAATACTCCCATGCCCAGCCACGGTGGCTGGCTCAAGGCACAGGCACACACCTGGATTAGGATCAATGAGACAGAGGAAAGGTTTTGCAGGCAAGCTGTCAAACATCACCAGGCAGGAGAGAGAAGCCGTGTGGGTGTGGGAATGGTTGGCAGCCACCCTGCCCTCACAAGGGAATACAAACAGCAGCGTGGAAAGAAAAAAGCTAAATCCTTAATGGCACTGTTGAGTCGCTAAATCTAATCAACCTTGGCCTGAAGCTTGGCCTGCTGTTGGCCTTCCAGTTATGCAAGCCAGTAAATACCCTTCATACAAGTCACCTCGAGAGTTCGGTTTTCTGTAACTTGAAATTTAATACATCTGAACTGACAATGTGGGCAACTAAACAACAGCCTTTTGACGAAATTCAAGTTCACTGTGAATTTCTCAATAAATACTTTTTAAGAAATCATTAACATATTTTGATTGAGCACAAAAATTTGATTAAGAAATGAGAAAATACAAATAATACTCAGGAGAGACTGATCTGATCCAATGATATATCACTTTTAACGTAAGTGGAAGTGGGGTGCTCATGTGTATATGTAGAGAAACAGGCACAAATGGGGGCCAGGCGTGGTGGCTCACGCCTGCAATCCTAGCACTCTGGGAGGCCGAGGCGGGAGGATTGCTTGAGCTCAGGAGTTCGAGACCAGCCTGAGCAAGACCCTGTCTCTACTAAAAATAGAAAAATTAGCCAGGCATGGTGGTGTGCGCCTGTGGTCCCACCCAGCTACTCGGGAGGCTGAGGCAGGAGGATCGCTTAAGTGAGGAGTTGGAGGCTACAGTGAGCTATGATCAGGCCACTGCACTCCAGCCAGAGAAACAGAGTAAGACCCTGTCTCTTAAAAAAATAAATTAATTAAACAAACATCCTTAATCCTCATGATGTAAAGGCTGAAGGCATTCATTGCTAAATACCTAATACAACTGAGTCCTTTTGAAATTTTGACTTCATAAAGTCTAAACTGTCATATTAATATGTTTTTAATTTTTAGAAGTTTTTAAATTAAGTTTTTCAAATTAAGTCCTGGGAAGCTATTAATAAGAGAATTATAATAGAGTTTCAATACAGTTGACCCTTGAACAACATGGGGGTGGGGGCACCAACCTCTCTTAAAGTAAAAAATCCATGTATAACTCTTGACTCCCCAGAAACTTAACTACTAATAGCTCAATGTTGACCAGAAGCCTCACCAATAACAAACATCCATTAACACATATTTTGTTTATGCATTATATACTGTATTCTTACAATAAAGCTAAAGAAAATGTTATTAAGAAACTCATAAGAGAAAATACATTTACAGCCCTGTGCTTTATTTATTACTACTATAAGTTGATGCTGTCTGTTTGCAAGATGAATTGTCTGTCTGAAATGGTGGCACCCACAGCTGCAGACCTCAATCGAAGGTGCCCAGCAAGCAAGTCAACTTTTCTTGCAATGTCACGACTTTTCTCTGCTTCTTGGGGCACTGCAAGCATCATGGTGGCACTTCACCTGGGTCCCATAGAGCTCTTTGAGGTTTATGGTATTGCACTAAACATGATTCAAATACGTGAGAACTTCAAGAGATCGCTTTTTACTGCAATCCGCAATATACTAGAGAGACAAACTGCTCACTTGGACATAATTCACAGGGCATTTTAAGCAGGTACTCCCAACACTTGAGCTCACCACAACAGTAAGAGGAGGTGGCTATGAAATTATTACAGTAAGTACAGTATGTCCTATAGTTAGCTTATGCAGTTATGATGTAATACTGCATCTTTACATTTGTTTATACTTCTCTTGACTGCAAATGGTGCCATGTATGGTTTGTGTTTGCATGGGTAAGTTGTGGCAAATTTTAACTTTTTGTAATAGATTTGTGCATATCTTACGGAAGTAAATGATAAAATTGATTAGGATCCACATATATTTTATGAATTCATGACATATCTTTCTCTCAATTTTTTCGATAACCAGTTCAAACCAGTGTTGTTCAAGGGTCAACCGTACTTTTTCGTGTCCAGATGCTGCACTTGCAACATACTGCATATTCAGTAAAGAAAAGATTTATTTAATTATTCTTGCGAAATGAAGATTAAAACCACTAAGCAATAAAATGTTTTAGTAATGCCAGTCTCTAGCATGAAATCATCTTGGCAAGGACCATGATAAAAACTGGAAGAGAACTAAAGTTTCACCATAACTATAGCAGAACAGGCAAGCCTGAGAGTTGAGGACTCACTGTCTGCCATTCCTAGTAAAACCATAAATAAGGCTCCTTTTGTTTTCTTTCTATTTTTTAAACCTCCAGTTATTTGTTGGTTTTGAAGACGGAAAGAGCTAAAATAGAACAGATGAACTCTGTCGTTATTTCTAGCTACAGTTTAACTCCTTCCTTTTGCTGCCAAATCTTAGTCTATTCTTCCCTTAAGTGTTACTTAATGCTGTATCTAAACGGCTAGGAATTTTTAAAAAACATTAACTCAAAGTATATTTGTGAAATGCATCCAGCTGTGCATTATGAAATATACATTCCAGTTGTATTTTTTATTACATCCGTTCTTTTTTCCTTTTTTGACTACATCTCTCTTTCCTGAAAGGTTCTTCCCATCTCTGCACACATCATTTCAGACACTGTAAGGAGCAGAGGTCAGGTTCAGAGAAAGTTGCTAAAATTCATCATCAGACCAAACTGCAGCCAGTGCCTGGCTGCCCCCACCCCATCTGAGCCCAGGTCTCCAGCCCCGACCCCCTTCCTCACAGGCACTGATGGAAGAGGAGGAGCAGTCCTACTGCTCATGGTGTCATCGATTACAAGGCTTCTACCAGTGGAGTCTCCTTCAAGCCCCGGGAGGTAAGCCTTACCACTACCCAATGCCTTCTGAAGCCCCGATGCCAGCCATGTTACCTTACCGGGCACCGTGGCAAGGTGACAGCAGGCGAGTGGAGAGGAGGCAGCAGAATGGAGTCTGGCGCCACCAGCACCCACAGGTCTCTCGTCCTCCTCTCACCCCAGTCATCGCTTATTCCTACCACCCCCTGAGGCTTGCTGGCTGACTCCAAAAAGCTAAAATAAAAGCAAGCTCCACCTCATAATTATAAAGACTAATACAATAACAAAAAAAAATGTTTAATTTGTTATATTTTTAAATGCCAATGAAAATTATATTGTGGTGGATCATAAGTACATTAAACTGAGTATTCATAGACACATAGAATAGGAACACAGAATATTGAGAACAGCTGAATATTAGGCTAGGTTAGTTTACAATTTTTGTTTCTTTCTTACAGTTACATTTGTTCAATAAATTAAAAACCAGAAGGCAGCCAAAGATTATGTAAAAAAATGCACTAATCATCAGGGAAATGCAAATTAAAACCACAATGAGAGATCACCTCACATTTGACAGAATGGGTACTATAAGGAATATGAAAGGTAGCCAGGTGTGGTGGTACGTGCCTGTACTATGGGTCCCAGCAACTTGGGAGGCTGAGGCAGGAAGATCACTTGACTCCAGGAGTTTGAGGCCAGCCTGGGCAATACAGAGAGACCCCATCCCACACACAAACAAAACAAAACAAAACAAAAAATCATGGAAGATAATTATTGGTGAGGATGTGGAGAAAAGGGAACCCTTGTATTGGTGGGAATGTACATTAGTACAACTATTACGGAGAACAGTATGGAGGTTCCTCAAAAAATTAAAAATAGAACCACCATATGATCCAGTAATCCTATTACTGGGTACAGAGCCAAAGCAAATGAAATCAGCATGTCCAAGAGAAATCTGCACTCTCGTGTTCACTGCACTGTTATTCACGGTAGCCAAGCTATGGAATCAGCTAAAGAAAATGTGGTCTATATGAACAATGGAATACTTTTCAGCCTTAAAAAGAGAAGGAAATCCTGTCATGTGTGATAACATGATTGAATCTGAAGAACATTATGTTAACTGAAATAAGCCAGGCACAGAAAGACAAATACTGGATGATTTCATTTATATGTGGAATCTAAAAAAGTTGATCTCATAGAAGCAGAGAGTAGAACGGTGGTTACCAGGGGCTGTGGGAAGGAGGGTGGAGCTTGGGGAGGTGTTGGTCAAAGGGTATAAGATTTCTGTTAGACAGAAGGATAAGTTCAAGAGATGTACATCACATGACTATAGTTAATAACAATGTATTGTATACTTGAAAATCTCTAAGACAGTAGATTTTTTTTTTTTTTTTTGGAGACAGAGTCTCACTCTTTTGCCTGGGCTAGAGTGCCGTGGCGTCATCCTAGCTCACAGCAACCTCAAACTTCTGGGCTCAAGCGATCTTCCTG